TTAGATACTAATGCTTATCAACATGATATGATATAAAGAGTGATTTGTGGTGTCTTGCAATGATAGCAAAAGCCTTTTACATTATGTATTATAGAATATATGACAGAAATAGAAGACCAAAAATACCAAAAAGTATAAAAATCATGGCAATTTCTCTGAAGGCCTGGATACCTATCGTTTTTTAACCTAAGATATATTTGTTGATCAATTTGCAATAAGAAAATGCATTGCTCATATTCCAATTCGCTTTTTCTACAAAAATATTGGAGATTTGACATTTTTCCCTACATAATATGATTAACTTCAATTTTTAACTTGAAAGAAATCCCGTGGATAAATTTACATAACTTTATGGATTCAGCGATACTTTCATGAGTACTTTTGATTACTTAACTGCTAATTTTATAAACCTAAGGATCGGACTACCTTAAAAGCCGTAACAAAAACCATTAGACTTTGCAGTTCTTCTAGAATCCCGAAGATGTCAGAGGCATATTTTTGAGGTATATTTTTGGATTATTTGTTAATTTAAACTGGTGATTTTATGGTTAATAATTGGAATAGTTTCATTGGTAAATTTAGGTGAAATCTGGATTATACATGGTGCGCTTATAGAATTCTTGAAACATAACCCTTATTAAATAGGAATTAACTCATTTGTGCTGGTGATGTTTTTACACCGAGTTACAGGTGATAAGACTTGATTATAGGAAGCTGTTGGTGGCGTTGATTCACCAGAGCTGTTCTTAAGAAGAGTATTGGTGATAATTGTTGGTAGCGTCAATTCAGCACAATTTATTTACCAGAGTTAGCATAAAAAACTTCACCAGTAATTTTCTTTAATTATATAAGGGTAACAAATAGTTTAATTGGTGTTTGAATATATATATATATATATATATATATATATATATATATATATATATATATATATATATATATATATATATATATATATATATATATATATATATATATTCATTTCCTTGTGTTATAAACAATCCCACATCATCTTTATATTTTAATAAACTTCATAGTGTCTTAGTATTCTGGATTTCTTTTGTGAATTCTTCAAACTGAAGAGGTTACGCTACATTACGCATTTGGCTCGTTAAATATCCGAACCCAAACTTTTTTTTGACAAATTGGTGGCAGCGGTGGGACTGTTATTTTTATTGTTTACGTTTTGCAATTCAATTTCAGAGATTATTTGTGCTGTGAAAAAAATGGATGAATATTCTAAAGTTGTTACTTTGAAGAAACCATCGGAGATAGAGGATTTGGAAATTATCATGGATAAAGAACAGTTTGAAGAGACCATTCCGCTTCAAGATCAAGAAAACTGGGAAGATGAAATACAAGAGGAATTTAAGACACCATCACATAGTCAATCAATCTCAAAGAAATAAAGAAGGAAGGTTTTTCTACAGAATTAAAGAAGAGTTTCTATGTGTTTCAAGAAAAGATTTGTGATCAGTTACAACAACAGAGAGAATTCTTCAAGAAAGAAATATTTAGTCTGCATGAGCAAGTGAATTTTATGTATTCTAATATGAATTTGATGAAAAGTGGGATTCATGACCAGATTTGTGATCTTAATTCAGAATTAAAAGAAATGAAAAAAAAAGGATACAAGAAACCTTGTGAAGGAAAGTTTTTGTCAAACCACAGGCTTTTTAAAAAGTGAACCACAAGTGACCTCAACTCCTAAGGTAGCTTCAAACCAGATTCTAAAGAAAGAATTGGAAGAAATGGGAAAATCGACACTAAGTTCCATGGGACAAGAAACAAGTCAAACTGAAAACGCAAGTACAAGTAATTCATCAATGGAGACTCATGTTTGATCACCAAAAGAAACGCACAGTGAAAAAGAAAATTCTTGTTGAGATTGTAGCAATGAAAAGTCAAAAACCGTGAGAATGAAACCGCAACATAATGATGGAACTGATGATTGGGAGGAATATTTAAAACAGTTTGAAATTTTAGCAGAAATTAACAAGTGGAATGATGAAACAAAGGCATTTTATTTAGCGGAAGTTTGAAAAGAGCAGAATGGACTAATTTGAATGAATTAAAGGCAACAGAGAGAAGAAAGTTTGAAAGTTTGGTAACATCATTAGAGAATCGCTTTGGATCAGTGAATTGTGCAGAAATGTATAAAGCAAAGTTACAATCAAAGATGAAATCTAGAGACGAATAAATTCCAGAACTTGGTCAAGCAATAATTAAGTAAAATGACAAGACAAGCATATCCTAATGCAGATTCTGTTATAAGGGATGTATTGGCGTTAGATCATTTTATAGATGCTTTACCTGACCCCGACATGAGATACAGAGTAAGAGAGTCAAGACCAAAGAATATAACTGATGCAGAAATTCTAGCTGTCCGTTTAGAAACACACAATCTTGCTGATTAGACAAAGACATCGTAGTTTTGTGAGAATTGTTAAAAGTGATGAAAAATTCGAAGCTCAGAAGAGAAGACTACCAACCCCAAAATCAACGCCTCTGAGATCTTTGGGATCAACCCATCAAAAATGGGCAGGAAAGTATAAGGAACAAAATCAAAGAACAGGCAGAAAACTTAATTAAACATTTAGTGATGAAATGAAAAAAAACTAAAACAAGACCTTGCCAGCTTGACTATGGAATTTCACGAAAGTAAAATGTCTCTTGTTTCAAAACAGAGTTCTTATATATGCTAAGGACCAGAGAAATGATAGTGTACATAATTCGGGAAACGTGAGTTGGTCGAACTCAGGGGCTGGAGCTCGATCGAAAACAACAAGCCCAAGTTTTAGAGATTGAATATTCTGATGATTGTGATGGATTATATGTGACAACTAAAGTGCAAGATACAAAAGTTGACTTCTTGATTGATATAGTAGCTAATATTACATTTTGAGTGAAAATTTTGTAAACAGATTGAAACCAGAGCATATACCATGCATTACAGAGATTGATAAATATTTCATGACAGCTACAGGAGACGTGTGACCACTTCTTAGAAGAGCCATTGTGAATATTCAAATAGGAAAACAAAGAATCGAGCATGAAATCTGGATAGCTGATATCAAGAATGAGGAATTATGGGTGCTGATTTCTTAGAGAAAAATAACTGTGACATTTTATTCAGTGAAAGAATTCTGAAGATTAAAGGCGAGAAAGTCGAATGTTTTACAGTTAATCAAAGTGACAGTTTGCAGAGTTTCCGAATCAAAATCTCGAAAACTAAAGAAATCCCTCCTTTAAGTGAAAGTGTTGTTCCTGGCTATTGTAACAGACAGGTTAAATAAACACACCCGCTGTGTTGAAGCCAACAGAAAATTTCAATGACAAATGTGATCTTATAATGGCTAAAGAATTGGTCAACCTGGAAAATGATGTGATACCTCTCCGAGTAATGAACAGTACTGATACATAGTGTTGTACAAAGATTCACTAGTTTGTATGTGTGAGCCAGTCTGTGAGATAATGGATTTCTCTCAGCAGGATGTACAGTAGATGTAAATAATTTGCGAAAGAAGATATTATCCATAACCGTGCCAGATCATCTCAAGCAAATGTTTGAAAATTCTTCGAAGAAGTTAACTCCTATGGAAAAAGATGTTTTGAGAGAATTGTTGCTTGAATATGAAAAAAGTTTTAGCAGAAATTCACAGGATTTAGGACAAACCTCACTTGTCAAGCATAAAATCGACACTGGTGTTGCACAACCAATCAAACAAAGACCGAGGAGAGTTCAACTATCAAAGAGAGATGAAGTTTCTAAAGTTATTCAAGAAATGAAAGATCAAGGAATAATCATCAATTAGCCCTTGGGCTTCACCCATTGTTCTCGTGAAAAAGAAAAATGATGAAACACAAAATTTTGTATTGAATAAGGAAACTAAATGATGTAACTGTAAAAGATCACATCCATTACCAAGAACAGATGATTGTCCGAATGCTTTATCTGGATCAGTATGGTTTTCTGCATTGGATCTAAAAAGTGATACTGGCAGGTATCGGTTGAAGAAGAAGACAGAGTAAAAACTGCATTTACAACTAGTGAAAATGGATTTTGGCAGTTTCGTACAATGCCATTTGGATTATGCAATGCCCCCGCTACATTTGAAAGATTAAGGGAGCAAATTCTTAGTGGATTAAACAAAGAATTGTGTCTTGTGTATTTAGATGACATCATTGTGACAGGAATGTCATTCACAGAACATATTAACAACTTACGAAAAGTTTTTGACAGGTTAAAATGAGCTAATCTAAAGCTTAACCCAGAGAAATGTCAGCTGTTTCGAAAAGAAGTGAAGTTCTTGGGACATGTTGTAAGTGAAAATGGAATATCAACTGACACAGACAAAGTCCAAGCAGTGAAAGAGTCGTCAACTCCAAAGACAGTTAAAGAAGTCAGAAGCATTGTCACGATGCAAGGATTTCACATGTAAAGAATAAAAGCCTTGGTGCCAACTGTTCAAAAGTTATGACCAAGATTAAAGATTTCCAAAAGTATGATATGTCAAATTCGGAGTTTAACGTCAAATTAATGGTAGCCCAAGTGTTGTCTTGACAAAAATAAAACAATGTGTGAAAACCCTACCACCAAAGTTATTGCTAATATTAAAGGTTCCTTAAATATTGGCCAAACTCCAATGTTAATGTATAAGTATTTAAGTTGTTGGTATTTGAGGAAAGGTCGTGTCACAAGGAATATACAAGTAAAGTATGAAAGGCCTAGCACCAACTTTTAAAAAGTTATGGCCAAGATTGAAGTAAAAATGGCTCAAACTCTAAGGTCAGGTCAAAAGACATTTTATCCAAAGAAAGGCTTTGTAACAGGAAAATCACATGCGAAATATGAAATCCGTAGTTCCAATCAATAAAAAGTTATAGGCCAAGTAAAAGTGTGTTTTTTCTTTACAAACAAACAGACAGACGAACGGATGACAAAGACAGGGTAAAATTCATAACCCCGGATGTTCGATTACGGGTGCATAAAAATATACCTTTATGCCAGCAAAAAATGGTTTACTACTAGCAGTTTTACACGCAAACCCATCTTCCTTATATTTGGCTCCAACAAGACAGGAAATCTGAAAAAAAAAAGTTACACAAATAAAAAAATCGATATTTTATTGAAAAGTAAAGTTTCAATTGAAAATGTTTTTCAATTCAAAGAATAGTAAAATTTAACGCACTGTTGATCCGGCTTTTTTCTGTTTCTGTGCTATTTGTTTTGATGATAGCAGTGCATTTTCCAGTGAGTTATATGACAGCGTTTCACTCCTCACAACTTCGATATCGTCCACATACCACGAGATTTCGTAAAATAATGAAGTGTCAGGTAATGGTGTAAAGCTACATTTGAACATTACACTAGGGGAATGTAATGTAGATGTTCCAAAAACTTTTGATACCCAAGAAACATTGTGGTAGGAAACACTGAGATTTGATGGAACTCCTTTTACACCTGAAGACATTCAACAAATATATAACGCTTTAAGTACCCTCTCTACACCGGTGCAAAATATTTTTGGGACATTATGAAAATTGTATTGGACAAGGGTGTAAATATTGAGCTTATTTTTTTTTTTTAATAATCAATATATGTTACGTGGCATTTACCACCAGGAAAAATGTGCAAGCACAGCACAGACACGGTGAATAGAAATCACGGATGTTTACTTTCATGGAGAAAATACATGTTTCGTTTACTTAAATCGATTACAAATTGAGTTATGTAATGTGAATTTCTATTTATTGGTATTTGAATCTAAGGGCAAATCACTCTAACTGCAGAAAAATACGATAGAAGCAGAACTCCTTAATGAACAGTGTAGAGATGGTTCTTAACGTGAAAGAAATTAAATTTGTTGACTGTATACTTGTGTAAAACTTTTGAATGTCATACATGTACGTTTCCCTTAAAAAATATAAAGTTATAAAATACTTACAGTTATCACTCAATTCTGTAAGAAAATAAATATTATATTTAGTTGTTCTCTTTTATTAAAAGCTATCTGATAAGCTAAAACTTTGTCACATAATCATAGGCCTTTATAAAAGGTGCCTGTTTTGGAGGATAACAATCGAAATTGACACCCAAGGAAAATCATTATCTACTGAATGTCTTATTCATTTAGGGTTTCAGCAAAAAAAAAATCATCGATCGTCTTTATGTTCACGTTTAGAAACCTTTCAATTTCAACGCCTCAATTTTTCTCAATAAGAAAGCTTCGAAAATGATATACTGACCTCTTTATTGTTTGTTTGATACCCAAAGAGTCCTTTGTCATGTAAAATTACGTTATTTCTGCACTCGCAGGCATGTTTCATTTTGGGTTTTTTTTTTCAGGTAAGCTACATCGGAAGCAAGTCTTTATTGACATCACGTTAATTAGGCTTCTTTCAAACGCACAACTGACGTTTAGAAGTCTACTAACGATTTATACGCATGTGACATTTTGTTTTATTGCTAGCGCTATCGAGCGCTAGCAATTACGCTCGTGCATAATTTTGGAATACGCATGCGTCATTCTGAAAAAAAAAATTCACGGTCTAACATTCTGGGAAAACTATGGTACTATGGATAGACTGTACGATAACAATTTCGGTATGTCATTAAATAACATTGACTTTTTCTGTCTTATTCTGAAGCTTGTTTACCTATTGAAGAACTTACTAAGTTCTAAAGTACTAAATCCTGATTGGTTTTCACGCAATTAACAATCCGTTCTATTATCCTCAACCTACGCAACATTATGCGCTTATACGGTTCACTATAGAATTCTCAAAACGCCAGTTACGCCTTTGAAAGAAGCGGAATAAACGTGACGTCAATAAAATTTTGCGTCCGTTGTAGCTTACTTGGAAACAACACACGACAGACAAAACATGCTTGCAAGTGCAGAAATAATGAAACTTTAGATGAAAAAGGACACTTAGATTATCAATTAAAAAAAGAGGTCAGTAAATCTTTTTCGAAGTAGCAGGGAGTTTGAAAACTTTCTGAACCTGAACCTTTAGACGATCAAAGATTTTTTTTTTTTTTGCTGACATCCTTAAATCAATATAAGACATTCAGTATAATAAAATAAATGGAGGGTAACAATTGAAATTGAAATCCCTTGGAAAACCATTGTCAACCTCCGCTGACGAGTCGGTTGACAACTGTTTTCCCTGGGGTGTTTATTTCAACATTTATCCTCCAAAACAGGCACTATTTATAAAGTGTTACCCTTTGTCAAGTATACTGTAACACTGAGCCTAACATAACGGATGGTTTAATTAATGGATATAAATCAATCTGATTTTTAAAATTAACACATATGTAGCATTGAATTATAATTAAGTAAATTACCGCATATCGATTTATGTAACTAAATAAAGATTTTGAAACACATATCCCTTTGATGGTTTTAAAAATGAAAAACATCTATTCTTCTGTAAAACAACAATCTGCTAAGCTCAACATACTTATTTCTATTATTTTATATTTTGTTTTGTCAATCTCTATGCAAAATAATGTAAAATATTCAGCTCTTCCAGTTCGATCAATCAACAGATATATCGGCTTCACAGAAAAACATATCGACATCGACCTTGCACGTTCCTGTTTGAATATCGTTTGTCCGATGAATGGTGTATATATAATATATAGACAGAAATTTCAAACGTACCAAAACAATATCCCGAGTTACAATAAAAAACAGGTTTCAGATGATAAACCATGTATGTTGTGCAGTTTTTTACTTTAATGTCAATCTTCTGTGTGCAATTTTCAATAAACCCCTTTAAACATGCTGTAGCGTCATTTACTGAAGCAGTGGGTGGATGTGAACCTAAAAAGAAAAAAAAAACATTTTAGTATGGACTTTGTTTAAATGTATGTTTTCTTTTCTTTTTTTCTTTTTTTTTTAAAGTTTACTTCTAATCCCATTATACCCGAATTGAGAATATTTTGTTTTTGTTAAAATACAGGAAAACTCTTTCAACAAAATTTTTTTTAATCACCCAAATAGACACTCTTTTTTATGCTTGTGAGATATTGCTTTTTCTTTGAAAAACGATACTGTTTTTTCTTTCATATGGTCCAAAAGGCACAGTTATCATGATATTGAGGTAAATTTTACAGTCATCATTTTTTGGGTGTAATTTTAAAGGTGCACAGAGGAAATCTAGTGCAAGTTTTCCAGCGTTTAAAATTACATAATGATTGTAACATAACGATAAAAGAAGATAAAGTAGAAGCACTGACCACTGAACCAGAAAGGATAAAGAGTCCCACAATATCCAAGGGAAGGTGGGGAAGTTGACATTTTATAATATTCTGCTCTGTACCATCCTTTTGTGATTTTAATGTCACAGATAGGTAAATAATCCATAAAGAACGATGGATTTCTTTTTGGCAAGTCAGTAAGGTTACGGTACACCGTGTAAGAACAGGGATCCTCTTCCTCTGAATTAAAACAAAAACAATAGTTTACATCCAAAGCCATAAAGAAAACAAAAAATGGATGTAAAACATACAAATGTATTAGAAAAATGCATTATGATTTTTTAATTATTACTAGCATTTCATTAATTTTTCAATGACACATTATAACTAAATCTTTTCTTTATTTATTTATACAAAATTTTATTCACATAAGTGAATGGGATTTGGCAGCAGGCAAAGCCTATTTTAGCCCTCTCCCTTTTCTTTATGATCATGTGGACTTTTCGCTTTCAAAATAATGACCAATGAAAATAAAACAAATCATAATTCTAAATTAAATCTAAGGTAACTTCAACTTACTGCATTGAATTAACAAAGGAACATAGACAAAGAAGAACAAATAAAGGATTTCCATCTTTGATTCTCACAAACTGAAACAAAATATTTTTAAAACAGGATTAAATGAATTCAGTAATACATTACGAGTGCCTCCCTATGTACCACCTTAATCTTTTCCTATACTAAAATAATTTTAGTTCTTATAGCTATAACCTTGATTTTTATTTTGAAACTATTCAACCACATGTTTTATATTGTGTAATGCTTCAATCACATCTTAACCAATGGTTGAGTAACAATAGAATTTTTTATGATTGAGTGGCTGAAAAAACAAACGGCCGGAATAGAAATTATCCGACATGGTGCAGACCCATTAATTTTGAAAAGCACCTGTAACCTTAAACCCCAGTCACATTTACAAAAACGATCAACGGCCGACGACCGTAATGATTAGGTCACATGTAAGCCGATGGTCGGGCGACTAAATTGTACTGGTCTTATCGGCTAAAAGAACATGATCGGCCAACATGAGTATCGGGCTAGAGGGAGCAGTCACATTAATTCATGTTCATCGGCCGTTGTCTTGCCCGATTTTGACCTCTTCCTTTGTCGGCCGACCAATATTTTGTGTCCATTGATCCAAGTTATAGTATCCTAGTAGTCCTTAGAGTATCAGTTACATTGTCAACGCTGGATATACGATGGGAAACCAATGTGTTTTATGATAAAAATGGCGTGCTTGCCGGCCGGCCTTACAAAGGCCCAGCGATGCATTGCTAATCATAAAACGATGTTCCAGGATAATCGGCCGATGTATATTACATCGCTAATACATTGGTGAACATCGTTCGTACATCGGTCGACTACGTGGTCAAACATCGACCGATGATCTGCCGCTATCTGTTGAACACTGTTCAACCCCCCTATGACCTCAGATTCAACGGATATAGGACGATGCTCGGCCATACAATGGCCAATCCTTGAAATATGTGTTAATGATGGGTTGCCGATGAGGAGCGATGTGAGGCATCGTTGAGGACATCGCTTAATTTTAACTACGAATTATTTCCTACGGATGACCCCGCCGATTCGCAAAATGGCCCCAGTCACCGTCCGATCACTAGTGAGGCCTGGCCGGCAACCATGTCATTTTTATCAAAAACCGCATCGGTTTCTCATCGTATACCCCATCGCTGGATAATATGACTGATACTTAACCGATGCGTTTATTTATGGAAATGGCGTGGTTGCCGGTCGGATACCACTACTTTTAGGACGGTGACTGAAACCATTCTGCAAATCGTTGGGGTACATCGGTAGGAAATAATTCGTAGTTAAATTCAGCGATGTTTCCAACGATGCCTCACAACCTCGCTCCTCATCGGCAACACACCATTAACACATCTTTCAAGGATTGGCCGATCTTTTTCCAAGCATCGTCAAGTTTCCGTTGAATCTAAGGTAATCGGGAAGTTGAGTGGTGGGCAACAGGCATCTGACGATTATCGGTCGAAGTTTGACCAAACATTAGCCTATATTAGACCGAAGTACGAACGACGTTCTCTAATGTATGAGCGATGCAATTGAAACTTACCTGGAAGTTGAAGTTTGATTGTAATTCTACGAATCACTGGAAAGGAATGGAGGAATCACTTGAGATAGCGCTAGCTTATCTGGCTTCAGTGTTTAAAAATAATCATTTAAGAGGCAGTCCACCGAAAAACCAGGCAATAGGTGGCACATCGCATGTCATGGATTTTAATTATTTTTTGCATGTAGACTTAGTATAGTAAGTGTTTACACATGACAACATCAAAAAAAATTTTAGTGGTCCTCTAGTCCTATTTTTGGTAAATGCCTAATTTTAAGTGCAAAAAGGTCAACTTGAGGGTAAAAAAATTACTATGTTTTTATTTTGTTTAATACGTAACAGATACTCAAAAGCTGGATGTGTCAATCAATATTATTTATAGCATAGACTCTTACCTTTTATTTTATAATGAACAAGACTGCAAATTTTATTTCTTTAGAAAAAGGATATGTGGTCCAAAATTGAGTTGAACAAGGTACCTTTTTGAATTCAGCATCCAATTTTCGATACCTTATAAAATCCAATACATTACTATGACAGAATTTTTTCCTCATGTTATTATGAATACAAAGTACAAGCTTTTGAGTCATTTGATAAAATTGGTGGGAACAGGTATATTGAGAGAAATAAAAGGAGTCCAATGTACCTATTATTTATGATTTTTCCCTAATTACACCGATCCCGATCGGAATTATATAAAGAAGAAAATACTATAACTGTTTCGTTAAATTTGGCTCTTTTGTTGCAACGTTGTTTTAGAATTTCTTTATTCATTTTTTTTTTACATATTATATAGGTGGCAGGTGCCTTTAGTCTGATAAATTTATTAATTTTGCATTATTTTCGATCGGGATCGGTTTTATTTTAATCGGGGTCGGTTTTTACCGTAAATTTAGAAATATTTCCTCTATTTGGTTCTTCATTATAATTAATCAGAAGTATATGCTTGTCTTTTATTTCTTTCCAGTCAGCTTTCTGTTTTTAATTGACTGTAACCATAGATTCAATGTATATATTATTTAAATTACTAATGTCTTTTACGTACATGAAGATTACATGTTGTAAAACATGTTTGATTTCTTGATACTCGGTATTTCAAAAAAAAAAATGTATTTGTACATGCATCATGCAACAACTGAGAGCAGACAGCTTTCTATAGCTTCATTATTTATCTTATTTCCAAGTAAAATTTCTTTTTCTATTTTCTCAGGAATTAAAGAGTTAAATTCTATCAGTGACGAAATTAAACTTGTCTAAATACAGAAAATATTTGATATACATGTACAGTACAGGGAAATAATTTTGTTAACAGCATCAATGCTGATTTTGGTGCTTCCTATGCTTGCTGATTTTGATGCTTCCTTTGCTTGCTGATTTTGATGCTAGTTATCCTTATTCTGATCCTGGTTTGATCCTTATCCTGATGCTGGTTTGAAACTAGGTCAATGCTAGTAATGCTACCGAAAGTAGGATTATCCTGCCGGAAGTGGATAATTCAAAAACAGCATCGCCATTAAAATTAATTTTTGGGGTAATTTTTATTTGTAATTCGTATTAAATGACTTTCCTTTATCTGTTTTCACTTTGGTCAATGCTAGTTCTATCCTTTGCTTGCTGATGCTGATCTAAGTAATGCTGATTTTTTAAATGCCGATGCTGATGCTAGTTGTATCCTGATCCTACTTATGCTGATCCTGATGCTGGTTTATGTAACAAAATTAGTTCCCTGCACTGTACACTCTCGACTTTATCCAAGTTTTTTTAACCGGTCATCTGTAAAGCGTTTTCCCCCATATTTTCCTCTTTTACAAATTTTGATTTTATATAAATGAATAATAAGTGATATAGTATCATTATTTAATAAATCGCTCACAAAAAGCAAGGTGTGTGGGGGGGGGGGGGGGTACATGACTAAATTGTATGTGAAAACTTTTAGAATTGGCCAATATAGTCACATGTTTAATTAAATTCCGTATTAAATGTGAGTGTGTGATTGTTTCAATCGCCTAATAAAAAAATTATATAATAATAAAAAAAAAAACGAAATGTTTCACTAAACCATCTTCCGTTTTAGTGCCAAATTATAGTGGGGAATTCAGCAGTAATCTAACTCAGTAAATATATTTTTATTACAATTTTCAGTGGGTTTTTTTTTTTTCAGTTTTAATCGTACCGCAGGTTGTTTCTTTTGATTTGACTGCATAGGTAAATATATTTAAGTTTAAACAAATATCATGAAGTAAACATCTCAACTTCGTTGAATTAAATGTTGCGTAAATCTAAAACATTCATGATTGATTCCAAACTTTATAAGAATTGTCCATTATAAACACTATTATTATTAATTATTAATTATTTTTACGCATATCATAGTAAATCAGTAAGAAAAAAAAGTTCTCAGACATGTGTAAAAGTACTTATCAAAACGGACTTGTTTTAATACATCTACATGAGACGCCGCCCGTGTATGAAAAAAAAGTATTCTGCAGAGTAATTTCACAGAAAAAGAGAAATTATTTAAATCTTTTTCTTCTTGCACTTTATGCAAAGTATTTACAAACTTCTCTGGGAAACTTGCAGCTATTTCATTGTGACGCAATATTAGTCAGGTATATGACGTCACTGATACATCAATGGAAACGTGATTTCAACGGAATTTCAACCTGAATAATATAGCCAATTTTTATTTAAATATTACGTTTGGAGGCGAAAATGAATAATATTTTGAAAAATTAATGAGTTATTTTTTGTTTAATAATTTTCTTTAGTGTATCGATTCTAAATATTTCACTAGGATTCCGATAAAAGGTGTTTAGCAGATTTACCGATGCCACGGGAGATAGCTCTTGCATCACAAAATTTCACAAAAACGTCTATATATTTTGCAAGAAAACTACTATCAAAAGTGTTTTTCCCACCGATTTTATTTTTTAAACAAAAAGATGAAATATTTCTAGATTTAGTTAAGTGTGAATTATAGTCCTGATAAAAATGTATTAGAAATTACAGTTCTTTGTTTCTGACCTACAGTCAATGGTTTATATAGGGGAATTCAAAAACACAAAACACAGGGATATTTTACTAAATAAGCAATTTTCAAACAAATCTTCAATTACATTATTCCTTTTGGACTACATTGATATTGTTTTTAATAAAATATCAAATATTCCTCACATTCGATGTGCCGCCTATTAATACATTACTGCCTGGTTTTTCGGTGGACTGCCTCTTAATAGCCGATAAAAGAAGAAAATTAAATTTATAACAAGGGTAGGGAAATTAAAAATATTGGGTCGGGCATGTGATTTCTCCATTCCTTTCCAGTGATTTGTAGATGTACAATCAAATTCAACTTCCGGGTAAGTCTCGTTTAATTTTCAAATCTACTTCATCACAGTTAAGGTCATTCCAGAACCACATGAGACGTTAAAGCTCTAAGGCTGTTAAATGATGTCTTATTCATAAATCCTACACCTTTAATTAAATAAAATCCAGTGAAGA